ACAGACAAATACCTATCAACATACTTACCGATCGAGACCGATAAGTAAAAACAGAGAAGATTAGATAAGGGGAATTTTATTCTTGTAAAAACAACATACCTTGTATTTAGTAATAAGTATAGAATAATATTAGTTAGGGTTACCATATTTTTTTGACTTCAAGGCGGGACGCTTCCGAAAACACGACCCCTTAGCTGTGAATCTGTAACTTAACAGTTTCCGATTTCACTACATAAGCCTACATTTAAAGCCATCCCGGCTGTCTTTATTGACCATATTGTCATCAAGAGTTCATGCGCATATTCTCTGTCTAAATATCGGAATCAGTTCGAAAATAGAAAGGAATAGACGCTAACGATACACATGATCCGAATTTAGATTTTTTTATGTACAGCAAAGGGTATAAGGAATAATGAAATAGTCTGCCGTTTTCAAGCATTGGAATCCAAGCATGCGTTTTTTAGATAACAATTTCAAAAAGACGTTGTTTAATGTTACATTCACGTGAACGTCTGAACAGGACCAATTAGAATTGATTTTACATGTGATACGTTCGCTAACAATGTTTGCGGGAAACAAACAAAATAACGCATTCGCCCCCAGCAAGTAGGCTAGCGTCGCTACTCAGCAACAACAGTAACGAGAACATGTCCATGTATTAATCTGGAGGGCTGAACGCCAAAGCGGGACTTTTGGCTGACTTGTCGGGACAAGAGTCAAGAGTAGACGCCAAAAAGCGGGACTGTCCCGCCTAAAGCGGGACGTAAGGTAGGGTTGCCATACCGTCCGGAAAATTCCGGAATTTAGGGTTAAATTTTGCGTCCGGGAAGAATTTAAAAAATGCTTAAATGTCCGGAATTTTACTGCATCTGCAATCGTATGTATGTATGTTTATTAGTCTCGTAGTAGTAAGCAGTATAAAAAATTGACAATATTAATATTGGAGACAGGACACATGTACAAGACCGTACTGGCCTAAAACACAAATGTGCGACATGCACCCCTTTTGACCAAGTACAGAACAAAAAAAAGAACTGTTTATACAAGGAAGTTTATAAGACAAGGCAATATATATAAATAGGGACAACACAATACACCAAATACTGTGCACACTGCTACTAAAGAACGTTGTTATTCCGTACCGTGCGCATATTTTTTACAACGAGGTCATGAAAATAGTCATGACCTGTCCGGAATTTTGCTTTTTCAAATATGGTGACCCTAACGTTGGTAAGCCTAATAATAGTTAATGTCAGTGGGACTGTTATGCCTGGTGCTTCTTTACTACTGCTGAAATTTGTGGACGAATTATCTATCCGCGATAGTCGAAAGCAAACAAATGGTTAATAGAGACCGATACTGTAACTCGAGAGCGCCTTTTAAAAGATGCGCGAACGTGTAATACGTGGTCTTTGTACGCACCGCCTATCGAGCGCTTCGGTTTTGATCGCTTACGCCCTTATTATCACAGGTATTCGCATTTTTGCACAACCTAATTAATTTTTAATTTAATATGTTTCTCCCATCGCCAAAATTATTCAATAGTATTATTGTCGGCACTTGCGCGAGAAATGAAAGAGGCAAACAAACTTTATTTCATTACAATAACTGAGGTGGACAAAATAGTATTTCATTATCGAATAATTTGAATATTTTAACGAATTCTCGAGTACCGGGTATTTTTATTATATATATACAACACTAACAACAGGCATCCAGTACGATAGACATTCTAATGTTGGTGAGCTATGTCGCACGTCCTCGTTTTCAAGAGGACCAAGTTTGGCTTTATATTTCTGGGATAAATATGCGTTCATATCGGCTACATACGTAAAAGACAGCTATTAAGGAGCGAATTCGGGATTTTATTCAGATTTTTATCATTTGCGCCGGCTTTGATATCCAAGTTCGCCACACTCACTCCCCAAGTGCTGCACAAATATCTACTACCGCCTCATGCTAAAATATGATAACGAATGCCACTTTATTGAACGGTCTGGGAACCAAGTATAAGCGACATAATTTAATCGGAATCACTTGAAATAAATTCAAAAATGAAATTTCTTCGCGGCACACTGGTTGGGAACCACTGTATTAAATAAACTCATATGTATCAGTAGTAACTTCAAATGCGGTGGATACGAACACGTTCGTTGGTAAATACCCAAAAATGTGACAGTAGTATCTGTATAAAAAACAATTGAATAGGTGATTGGAACGAATAGGTTTTTCAGAGGTGAATATTTAAAAAGGCAGGCAGCGTTCAGAGATTTGCTCGAAGTCCAGGGATGGCCAATTCGAATGAAGTATTCGAATATCTCGTTATTCGAATATCGGAATTAGCGTTCATAAGAATATCGGATATTTGTGTGACGTCACACATTTTCGACGCCGTTTTCACGACGTTTCCGTTGAATGAAAACATTCTCGATAAAAACTGCGCGTGATTGTTTTTATCATCAGCGTACGTGTTATTTAGGCCGTAAACGCCTTTACGTTGTGTTATTTTCTCTAAAACGAAAATTTTCCACAAATTTGTTCCACGATAACGACATTATTTTATTTTTGTACGCGCACGGAATTGTGAATCTGGTAAATACGTTCATCGGCGGCGAGTTTCTAAAGACAACGCAACTTTTTGATTGAAAAGCGGCAATTTAAAATACTGAAAATAAAACCGTAAACATATAAGTTTTATTGAGGCCCGCGAAAATTTAAAAAACGCTTTTCTAGGCAGTGAAAATCGCAAAATTTCGTGTGCCTCTGGCACACATTATGTTTGGTCGGTGTTTAAAAACATATCGTCACTAATTGAGGGCGGGATTTGCCTGATTATCCATTACTTTAAATTGCCGTCGAATATTTTCGTGTTAACACGATACAAGGTTTGAAACGCGACTTTTTCCGGGTGGAGGATGTATATAATATAATTAATCTAAAGTATATTCAATCAATTTTATTGTGATGAAATAAATTTTACTCTGAGATATTACAGCAGATTTATGATTTTTCGAACGGTTTTATTAAAATAATCAGAGTGGCATTTCGATTGTTAAATATTTGTGAATTCGCAAAATACGGATCAAAACATATTTAATCGGGCAGTTTACCACACGTTTTTATTTTTATGACCGCGGATTGCAATGGTATATAAGAGTGGTGAGGATTTTATTTTGTCGACGCAACCGCAGGTTAAATTGAAGACAATTAAATTAATAAAGCAAGACATTTTAAATATGCCCGTGTCGGTCACGAATTCATCACTTTGCACAACAGAAAAATATATATTCGTTGTTATATTATTTGTTGTAAAAGTCGACTCTTTTAACAGGTGGCATAATCGCGGCGATGAATATGTATTTTTAATTTACTGCTAAACTTTATATGTATATTCATTGTATGAAATGAATTATACTCTACACTTAACAGGATTTTATAATATTATTTGAGATTTTTCTAACGGCGATAACGAGTTGGCAAGATTGCAAAAATACGTATTAAAATTAAATACATCAGGCAGTTTATCTCGTAATTTTAGGTCACAGATCGCCGTGGACCGAATAGTAATGTTTTTTTTTGACGTAAGAAGAAGCAACCGCGAGTTACGTTGGACACATTAAATTAATATATAAAATATTAGAATCTCGTAGTTGTCATGGATTGAATATTTTACGTAACAGAATGATCATTATACGCTGTAAAGACGGCTCTTTTAACGAGCGCGGAATCGCGGAATCGCGGTGGGTGTTACAGGCGGCAATGGGAATTTCCGATTTCGAAAATCCTGGCTGCGCGGCTGGTGGTCATCTATTCTCTACTAATTTATTTCTAATTCAAACACAACAATATGTTACACATAATAACAATATGGTTCACATAAATTATATACAAATATACTGGTAGGTAGTAGAATACTCTAGGCTTAAATATTAGAATTTTTAAAGGCATAATGATTTTCGATTGTTGTTGCTTGTTCAGTTGCCTGTATTGCCAATAAATTTTATTACTCTCAGAAAATATACACAATTATCTGAATACAAGTAGTATTTTTGTCAATAGACTTGACTATTATCGTAATATCATGGTACCAATGATAGAAAGCGTCAGACAACTCCTTGGCTATCTTTTCATATGGTCATTTGTACAAAGTGAATAATTTTAATAAACTGACTGTGTCACAAGTTGCTATTATTTTTTATTGATAGCTATAAACTATCAATTACTTTGTGTACATATACTGTTGGTTTGTGGCTTTATTCTGATATTTCTATTGAAGCTTATTTCCTAATTTACTGGGTTTTAATCAACTAAAACAAAAATGTGTTATTTTCGATTTTAGAATGTATTCGGAATTCCAGATTCGAAAACATTATTTTAGAATGTATTCGGAATAGTTTCGGAAATGGCCATCCCTGGCTCGAACCCAATATAGAAATGATGTAATAATCAGTGTCACCGTTCTTGTTTTAGAGTTGGACCAAAGACAATGCATAGCAAATAAATTACACTGTTGCTAAAGCATATAACCGGTTCTGAAAAAGTACGTTAGACATCAAGTTCATACAACAACAAAAGCTGGTGACATAAAGAATTGGACTTGTGCAATATCATGTCACGGTTATCAGGGGCTTGAAAATGGTCCGTGCACCTGACAAGCTCTCAAAAACCGGCCATACAAATGTACAACAGCGCCAGAAGCAACCAACTAGAAAAACGACTCGAAAGTCCGAAAACAGAAATTCAACAATGGCATCATAATTTCTGGAGCAAACACAATGAGCAATTTAATAGAGGGAAAAAGAATATATTAAAAATCACAAGAAATTTTCATCATCTATAATTAAAGGAGATGCGAAACAAACTTCAAATGCAGAAGACATGGCAGTCTTTCATAAAATGTTTTTGAAACAAAATCACTTTGAACACCCAGTATGACAGGTGAGTCCTGTTCATCTTCTCAGAAACCAATCATAGAGCGAAATACCATTAAAATATTTTTCCAGGGAATGGAGATACAGAAATAGAAAAATCCTCTATTTGATGCTGAAAGTTGAATTGCAAAAACAGTCCAGAAATAGACAAACAAATTTCTCTGACGCCATCACATCATCGCTTGCTTAATAATTTGTTTCTAAAAGGATAGTAAAAAATGAAGACATGCTTAAACTCGAACTGAGATGATAATTTGTGGATTTCATGCAGGATACAATTAAACATACAATTCCCATCTACCGAAGTGACTGTGACTGAAGTTTGACATTAGGGTTTTGTGCCATGTTCAGTAGTATTTTACTCAACCAGTACACTTCAAGTTGAGGGTGGGTACTATTTATTTGAACGAAGATCTTGAAGATCTGTACAGTTGATTTTGGAGACAACATTAACACATATTACCTTGATATATTTACTCGCATTTGTTCCCATAAGCCCCAAAGACGAAGAAGTACAACTGGAAGTGCGTCTGTTGAGTATAACTTGTTCAGCGCATCCAAGGTGCCCACAACTGATACATTTCTTATTTGCCTTTCGCTCTCATATTCTATTAACTGGGAAATACATCCTGCAAAAACGTTTCGAGATCGTAAATAAAGTACAAAATATAAAACATCTATGTAGTGGGTTATATTGTGTTGAAATAGTTACCTATATCCTCTCCTTGATAAACTGCTGTTTCCAGCACTTTTGTTAGACATGCAACATCACCGAACCCCAAATTTGCACCCTGACCAGCAAGCGGATGAACTCTTAAATTTAACACAATTAGTCAATGAAAAACAGATTGACAATGTTCTCAGTAAAAAGTTCAATTTTTGATACAATTCAGCAGAAATAAAGGTTAAGTTGTTTTCATAAATCTGATTTATCATAACCAGTACCATCCATAACAAGCACCACATTATCGATATTATCAAAGTCTTTATATAGTCTGAAAGATGGTGAATGAGACTATAGAAATAGCAATTTCCAAGTAATAGATCTAATTTTACTCAGTATTTTAGGAAATGCCTAGCCATAGTCAAAAGTACATAATAGTTCCTTATTTGGCAATTAGTTTTTTAGTGAATATGCCCACTCTTTTCTATTACTGTCCACCTGCCATTTCATTATACTGTAATACCTGTGCGCAGCGTCTCCAATTATTGCCAATCTTGGCCTCACATACTCATTACAATGAGATAATCCCAATGGAAATTTTGCTTTATCACCTTGCAATGTTGATACTACTGGTGGCAACTGCATAGAATTCATAAGTGTTCCATGATCTGAAAATATTAAAATGTTATGCGATTAAATAGAGGTGTTTGATCATCCATGCTATTAGTTTGTTAGGAACATACCGTTACTAATTTCCTTCATTAGATCTTTGAACGCCCCTCCTATTTTGTCAACAATTTCATGTCTTGGATACTCCCTGCACTAAATTCAGAGAATGGCCAAATATTAGTCATTAAAAAGATATTCAGAAAAAATAAATTGGTGCTGTCTGTGATACTTGAATATATACATTAATTTACCTAATTTCAGTATAGATTGTAAGTAGTAATTCATCTCACATAAGCATCGTTAACTTCTGCCACAAAATCATCATTATTCATATGACAAAGACTTTCTGCATGCTCATGGGAAGTGCTCCATACTAGTGAACTGTGCTGGTCATCTAAAGGTAGCATCGCATGGGTCCTTAAAGAAAAAATGCATGAAAGGAAGGGAAGTTAATATGAGCTGAAGAATGTAATTGATATTGTTATACCTTCAGGAAGGAATCTTTGCCAAGCCTGGAAATTTTCTGTGGGTTCCTCCAGTACCAGTGTTGCAACAACGGCAGATTGCTTATATGTCCATGCTACCTTTGATATATTTGCTTCCTGTGCAATAAATGACCGTGCCCCATCTGCAGCTACCTGATGTATAGAAAGCCATATGAAATATCTTTAAAAAAAATATGAAATGCTTTGTTCCAAACATTGCATATATCCCAATATGATTAGGAATTCTTTACAATGGGCACATGTGGAATATTGAAAAATACAAAATAAAATGATTGCACTTACTAAAAGAGCGGTCTCAAGAGCATCACCATTTTCCAATTCGATCTTAACATTCGGAAGTGGCTTGTTTGGGTCATCCCTTGCATAATTTCTTGGCAAAGTAAATGATTTAATTTTTGAGTTGTATATTGTGTTTAAATGTCCCATAGTGCTGTTTTCAAGAATATTTTGTATGCTTGAGGTTATCATGTTGTTCTCAATAATGTAACACAGATCATCTGCAACATCTTCTTTGTCGAATGTAATCATTGCATCAGAACAGGCATCCCAAACCTACAATCAATAGGTTTGTTAATACATCACATCAAGTCGTCCTAAAAAATCAGATATAAGGTTCTCACCTGCATTTTTGAGACTGGACGTTTTCTTTCAATGCTATCCCATACATCAAGTTTTTGTAACAATTTTTTTGAAGATGGAGATATTGCAATAACACGATTGCTATATGGTTGTGAAGTTTGGAATGATTTTACCTTCGTCGTTGGCGGTGGTTGAGCTTCAAGCAATAAAGTTTTCTTGTCTTTGAGATAGAACTAGACTCTGAAAGAAACAACTCGGTGAAAATTAAGTGATATAATTGTGTTGTGGGTATTCAAAAATAATTATAAAATATAAATTGTGTTTCGTCATTGGTTACTTGAACTCACGTATTGCTTGAGCCATCGCACCCCCAACGAGTCCACCACCAGATATTATTATATCATAATATTGGTTTTGTCCATCTGACATTGGTCGATAGTTGGAAAATGTAAATGCAGCAGACAAATTCTTTTTTAGTAATACATTTCTTATTGCAGCAAGAGGCAACATAGTTAATACAGTCTATAACTAAAAGTATATTTTATAAATTCACTGTGATAAGTCTGTTTCACTACAGAGCAATATAAAGAAAGAAAAATATACAAGTTGCAGAGATAATTAGTTTTTACTTTCAGCACTAAGCAAGTATTTCACAACAGGCTATATACAATAGGTGGTGAGCATCATAGTTAAAAAGCCAAGAATAACAAGACTTATTAAAGGTATTCTGACTTTTGTCATATATTAACAAACAAATCAATGTCACAATATTGCATGTTTCTGTTAGGTATTAATACACTAGTATCAGATCTCAAGCATCTGCTTTGAGTTGACGATTTGAAAGTTCAATCTTTTCACCAGGTTTGAATGCAGGCATTCCGAGATAAGGGCAACTTGCACATCTGAATGCATCCCCTAAATAACAACTGCCACATGCTGATGAAACAGACTTGGGTTTTGGCACCTCCCCAGCGTCTAACTCTTCAGCTAAGCCACATGTACAGTTCTTGCAAGCTTTTTTCTTCTTTGGTCCTGCCTGACCACAACTGGCTTTTAAGCTAGCAGCTGTTGGTTTCAACAAGTCTGTGTCATCCAAGAGTTCATCATCATCAATGAGATCAACGTCATCATCATTCATATCCACTGCTGAGAGAGACCAAACCTGTTTAATTTGTTGATCTGATGTTTTTGACTTTGCAAATGAGAGCTTTATTTGTGTTGATGAACCAACTTCAAATGCTGGTTTTTGTGCAGTAATGAGAGTAGCGGTTTCCTTCCCATCTCCAATAGAACCATTGTTATGTTTGAATGTGATATTGACAAATCCTGAAAGCCTCAAGGCTGACTGGAGACTACTTTCTGACCATGTATCTGTCTTTTCCGATTGTTGATGCAATTTCGAAGACATGATGAAATGCCCCGAAGGCTTCAAGAGTCTTGCAATCTCAACAAAACTTGATTTTGTGTAAAACTCTCCTGGAGACAAATACCAACTAGGGCAATGTTAAATGTTGATTCACTGTAGTTAGCCATTGTAAGTCGTTCAGATTGTTCCATGTGGACTGAGCCATTGGAACCAGCATTGCTTCTTATTTTATCCAGTAACTTTTCATTTCATCTTCCCTCACAATTGCTTTCCAAAGAACAAGTACACAATCACCATCTTTAACAGACTGGCAGGCATCCATGATTCAATGATCACAGATTATACTGTATTATAAAATTCCTAAATTATATTCAATATGAGAATATTCAACGAGATTATATTAGTATACAAATACAGCAATAAGAATATGGGTATTCAAGAAAGCATGATATGACAAGGAGAGCTCAGAAAAACATTAGTAATTTTTTTAAACAAATAATAGTCTGTCTCGAACTCTTTCGGATTCGAATAGTTTAGGTTCAAATAGTTTGATATTCTGTAAGTCTCTATAACAGTATAAACACATACAGACATAACATTATTTATAGAATACTGGAATATGGAAGGATAACAAAACCTGAAATAAGGTAGTGTTTCAAAAGGGCTGAATGTAGTAGTGGCTATCTTGCTATCAGCATCAGCCCACAATAAAAATTAAACCTATCCCTTCAACATGCATGTTTATTTTTGTTGAAATAGTCCAGCTGCAAGATGCCTGAAGATATTTGCTAGGGAATACATGTCACTGGATTGTGTTTTAGTCAAAAATTGAAGAATATTTACAGCAACGAGGGGTCCCGCAATCCTCTCGCACATAAGTATATAGAGTTATCGGGTCTCATGTAGTTTCGTACCTAACATTCTTCACGTATCAATCCTAACCCCCACCTGACTACACCATCTAAAAATTTTGTCAACACGACGTCACAGTGACATAATAGAGCCCTTCAAACTATACGAACTGCCATCCAAGACGCGCAAACGAGCACCCGAAATCGAACAGTTATTTCTCTCGTTTTCTCGTCGCAACGATTCCAATAGGAGAGAGATCAATAATGTCAGTCAGTTCTTTATCGTCGGCGCCAATGCCATTTCGGGCGATTGTACGTATATTTGGCAAGCTCTATGACGTGATTGTGATGTCGTAATTTTTGGATGGCGTAGTCAGATGGGGGTTAGGATTGACATATCAAAAAATTGTTACCGTATTCTAGCCTACGCCCACTAGAAGTACGGTACGTTAGGTACGAAACTACACGAGACCCAAATTATCCCCCACAGAATTCGAACCCACACTGCCACGCAGGGCACGGTCCGGCCCGGGGTAATCAAAAGTGCAGTGCAGGGCATATACCAGGGATGGCGAACCACTGACCCGCGGGTCACAAAGTGACCCACAGCGTTTTATTCGTGACCCGCCAAGGCACGAATAAAATAAGAAAAATGGTAACATATCAGTGATAAAAAATATTAAAATCGGCCTTAAATTAATCTAACAATACCGGTACCTAAACTATTATAATGTACGGTCAGTTGGGCAGTCAGGGTTGCGATCGCTTATATTCAAATAGTTAATTTCCGGTATGATAATATTCAAAACCCCTAATCTTGGACGCATGTCTGCACCGTTGTGTGCCGTTATTCAGCTATTGGCTCTGACATAGTTTACTGGTTTATGACATAACAATCCAACTGATGTTCATTTCTCGCAACGTCTTGTCTCTTCAGAAGTGCATCTGCAGACTGTTTTAGAGGTTGTACGAGAACTAGACGCCACTTTGCATTTTATTAGTTTCTCGCCTACAATGCCGTTTAGAATACAAAATCTTTCAGACTTGAAATAAAAACCTAGAAATCTGGAATAACAATGGGGCAGTGCAAAAGTGCTTTTAATATGGTTAAAGCTGATATACATAAAAATATAGCACTACCAGAGTGGAATTCCCCTCAAACTCTTTGGAACCGTAAAATAATTTGCCGCATCATCCTAAACGTAATTCATATGTGTGTTTTCGTACCCTTAATCGAGTGCCATAAAAAGTTCCTGATAAAGTGCTGTAAAGTAAAGCACTAAACTACACCAACATTAACAGAACCGTTATATTATGATTTGTTTCAGAAGTTTCTTATAGATACAAACATTGATTAAATATCTGTGACCCACTCTCTTCTGTTCCGCGGTAAAAAATAT